GTCACATCCTCCTTGAATGCTTAAATACTTCATCCGCCTGCTTTCGAGCAGGGGGCTGAGATCCGGTCCCTCTGTTGCAGACGGCGATCAGTGGGTCTCACTGCCCGGGTCGCTCCCAGGCTCCCCTGCCGAAGCCGCTGTGCTTTGTATGAGCTGATTAAATATTCAGAGGATGGGAGTGAAAAGGGCTCTGCGGGTTGGGGTGGGGGTGCTCATCCAGAAGCCAGCTCCTAGTCCCTGCGCCAATGAATATTTAATCGCTTTGTACAAAGTAGTAGAGTCTCAAAAGGAATCCCTGAAATCTGTAGCTTGGCAGCTCGGGTATGTAACTGAGGAGGGCTTTGGGTCGGAGCCCCTTTTCAGCAGTATGCAAGGGAAGGGATTTAGAAGTAAACCCCTGAGAACTGCTTTGACCACTCTGGTCTTCTGGACATAGCGTCAGGGTCAGTGCATGAGAGCTGACTTAGGTACTTAGCTCAGTGGAAGGAGTGATGTCCTTCCCACCCTAAATTAGCCATGCAGCGTGTCTCCGGCAGTGCGGTGCGTGCTTCCCTGCCCTCTGAGCACTGTGATCCCCTCCAGGCAATATGCAAGGAAAGCAAGGCATCCACATTGCATGGGCTGTGGCGGGGAGCTAAAATTTCCCCACTGCAAAACTCTACCACTGGGTCCCTCTGTGACTTCGCACTGGGGCTGTCATTTAGCAATGTCATTTTTCACCTGCCTGACAAGCATTGAGCAATTTCCTTCGACAGCAGCGAGGCTGTGTGCTTGCTGCAGATGAGACCCTGCCTGCTGAGAAGACGGAGTCTGAGTGCATTTTCTCAAATTGTGATGGAAACATAGTGCTAGTCAGCTTGTACTGCTGTATTCTTGGACTGTGCTTGTCCTTCGGAAAAGAGGAGACTTTAAACAGCCCAGCATCTTTCATTGCTACAGTATTCATGCAGAAATGAAGGAGTCCAATTGTTGAGGTTTTGTGATCACAGAAACCTTATCTATATATTTTATAACTGCATAGGAAAAAATAAGTACGAATACAGATTGGGTCAATTTGTATCTACACCTCTGTCTATAAAACCTATAGATACAAGGATACATACAAATAGCATATACATACAAGCGTAAAACTTTGGTGTTTGCACAGTCTGGAACTGATCATGCCTGGATATTAACAAAGCTGTCCTCCCCAGCTACCTGCCAAACACTGCCATTTCTTATCATATCACATCAGCAATCAAACAACAAGTTCATTATGGATGAAACCACAGTCTCAGAGAAATGCTTACAGATGTGCTTATCTTTCCATGAGTGAAGTTCCACCCCTATTTAGTAACATGCTTGATTTCAGTACTACCCACCTGCTGACCCAGGACTCCCATTGCTGGATGTGCTGGTCCTTCCCTGAAGCAGCCTGGGCACATCAACATTACTCACAGGTTTTTTTTTTTTTTATGGTGAAAGACAAACTAGTTATCCTGTGTTGGATTTTATGCCGAGGTAGATAGAAGCAGCAAGGACTGAATGAAGGGCCCCAAAGGGGCTCTCTCCATCCTGCTGCAGGAGCCCACACCACCCAGCATGGCCCACAGCACTGACCCTTCAGGCCATGCTCCCTCTGTAACCAGGGCATACATCGGCCAGAGCTACAGGAGGGCCCCTGCAGTCCCGAGGGTCCGCACTAGCGTTACACACCCCAGCTTCAGAGCCTGCCCTTGGTGCCTTCCTGCGGGGCTGCTGCTTCCTGCCCAGAAATGCAACACGTGGGGAGCATCCTCATCTGCTTCCACCCCTCCTCTGCTGGGTCACAATGTCAGTGTGAAAAACCTCTCCAGCTCTGGAGTGAAATTAGACCCACACTCCTGATGAAGGTGACCAGATGTCACGGTTTCACCCGCAGCACCGGTCCTGGGAGAGTCGAATCTTCAGGCCACCGAATCACCAGTCCCCCCTGTGCAGATGGCCAACTTGGAGATCCCGCCCCAGCGCCGTCGCGTAGGAGATGCTGATCAGCCAAACCTGCTGCTGTCAGCAAAAGACAAAACGTCTCGCAAGCCATGCGGCTGGCGATAAAAGGGAGCGGGTGCGGGAGCAGCCCCGCGGAGGCCCCTCAGGAACAATAGCAATCCTTTTGGGAGCCAGCGACGGAAGGCTGGACAAAGGCACACGCTGCCCCCAAACTCCAGCTGCTGCCTCAGCACAAAACAGTGGGGTGCAAATTTGGTTTCTTTCATCAAAATCCTCTTAGGCGGTGCGAATGAGGAGAGCAGGCGCACACCCTCGCATGTCACGCTCACTCCCTCTGCCACCAGTGCGCACAGCCTCGAGGGCCAGGAGGCAATTTATTGAAGGCTTTTTTGACTTTATGGGAATGAGGCACTTTCCATGGTGGTAACGGAGCAGGGAGACAGGCACCGGAAGGGCATGGACATAAGAAGCTGTGCCTGCCCTGCGCTGTTTTGCCTGAAAGAGACTAAATTTTCATGTTCTGAAAAGCCAGATGAGCAGAACAAATCATTAGTCACCCAGGTATTTACAGTGTTTTTCCTATTTCCTTTCTCCCATGGCCTCTGTGGTCAGCAGTATAAAATTCCTGGGCACTCCCACCTAAACACAAGTTTCCTGTTTATGCTCTCAGTGGCTTTTATGTTTAGCTGTTAAAACCCGTTGTCTAAAGTACCATAAAACAATATGAACAGAGTCTGCAGGTGAGCAAGGAGGGAAAAAAAAGGCAAAGCCATGACCAGCCTGTGTTCCCCAGTCTGGAACAGGGAAGCAGAGCTAGGGGAACAAAGGAACAAAGATTGCCACAGCCAGCCTGCTGCCCAGTGCTGGACGCGCCAGCACTGTCGCCTTCTGCCACGGCAACTTTGGCTGAAGAGCTGGGGTGGATGAGCTCCCTCCTCTCCAATCATATGGAAGCACCTGATATTAACAGTTAAATGTGTCCGTGGGTAGCGTAAGCTAATTGAGGTTTGTGGTATTAAATAATGTAGAGTTATGACACTTCTTGTAAGGATTTTCATTACAGTAACTACTCATGCTGCTCCTGTCTGGCCTGTCAGAATTTACACCGTGTAAGTTCCTCTTTTAATGTCAGTAACATCTGCTTTATCCTGAAACATAGGAAAAAAGTTGTTGGTAAGAGCAACGCTGAGATTCTCTGGAGCTTCAGGAAGGGAGAAGCTCCAGGTAATCATCAGACTAACTCCTAGAGCCACTGCAAATTCCTGCATTCGTACCCCTTGGTCAGACTGCACAGAATTTTTCAAGTCATCAAGAACATCCAATTTAAGGTATTTTGTTGTGGTCGTATGAGGTAAAAATTGCTGAAGACATACAACTTAGTAGCAGTTACAGTACAGATTTAGATAGCTCTTCCCAGAGCCTTCAGGTAACTTCATATCTATAACTATATGTTACTCAGTATCTATATACCTATATCTATATAACAAAGTGATAGCATACACTGATCAATTAATTTTTATGAACTGTTTGCTATACCATTCTCATTGGCTTTTATTGAAATAAAAAATGAATAATCATAAAATTACAAAATTAACCTTAACCTACTAGAAAATTCATCCATAAAACTAATACGATTTTGTGACAAAATTCTGTTCACAACAATGTGATGTAAGGGCCTTTGTCAATATTATCTTTGAATTTTTTGGTTGATTTGGTTTAGCCAGATACTTCCAGCTATTTAAACGTAGTTTTGTGTATTTAATTATATCATACACGATGTCATTTTTTACTACAGACACCCTTGACATTTATTTCAGTCAGTAATTAGTAAAGAATAATTAAGCTTTTACTACTGTTAACTGCTTTTCATGATCCTTGTATCCTGTAGATCAAGATGCAGCAACAGCAGTAAAGTTAATGTTTCAGATATTAAGATTTATTTGCTTACAGTTGATACACAAGTATTATTAGAGTGTTTGCATACAAAGGAAGGACAGACAAACCAACATGTTAAAAGAACCTGTGTAGTCGCCTACAGAGATCAATATGAGTGAAGAACAAATCCACTGTGTTGAAAATCACAACATACACAGAGCAACTATTTTATGTGTATATGTATTATATATAAATAGTATGTATTACATATATATTGGCATATACATTTTCAGGCAGAGTAAAAGGGTTCTAAAATGTGCAAAAGGGCTTTACATGCACTATATGTAGCATCTATTAGACAGCTCTGTACTGATAACTCTTTCATGAGTGCTATGTCACTTCACAAACACTTTTTTAAACAGTTGTTGAACATAGATGGTCTTATGCCCAAATATCATTAGATTTTCTGTCCATAGTGAAGCACTTGCCACTGTTCTTTTGTTCATGCTGAAAGTTTGATTTTTTATTATTGTAAGCCTAAAATTTAGGCCACTCAACAGCCACCCCATGGGAATGACATTCTACCTAAAGCATGGCATGGACTGAATATGCATTTGTATATGGAGTGCACCAAGTGGGCTCCCAGAGCATGTTTTCAAGTGTGTGTTTCATCTGAAAAGCATTGGCTTCATCTCTTCCAGATTCATTCCTTAAGTCAAAAGGGAGCACTGGAAGCGGGGACAACTGGGAGGCTGGCTTTGGAAGCTGTCTTCTAGTCCAAAGAAGATGCTGATATAGATGCACCAGTGTTCAAGTTTGGACCTTACTGTCACAGCTCCTTTGGTCCCTCCGTTTAAGTGCACAGACTTCACAGCAGCACGTTTCCAAACCTCATCTCTTCTTAGCCCTGATGAAATGAACTCCTTCCATGTCTTCCCCACAGCAGTTTACATACATTCCTCCTGTTTCCCAGCCGACATGACTCTCTTTCACTGCTGAGGGGAGAAAAAAGTCTGTTTGAAAGAACCTCTCTTTGGCCTGGCTGTCTATGGAAAATGAACACAGCCTGCAGACCAAGCTGATTTGTTGATCTGGTGAAGCATTTCAATAAGAGAAAGTTAAAAAAATAAATAGAGAAGAGATGGGAAATCTTTGAAAAAGTCAACAAAAAGGAAATACTTTAATGTAGTCTTGATTCAGTAAATCACTTTGGTTTCATGCTCAATATCCATGAGAAGCTGTCAGCACCTGGACTCTGTGTAGGCAGAAGGTAGACAGGGAAATGACTCACTGGTGCAAGAATACAGAGGGGGGAAGCCACAGAGCATCGGCTGTGGGAACCTGTGAAGAGAAAAGAAAATGTCTCAGTTCACAGAAGGTTACAAAGCTTTGTGCTTGTCATAATGCACACAGCCAACCATCTAGCACTGTTCTAAGAGCAGCTAAGAAAGTATGAAGGGGAAAAAACAACTTTAAGAAAAGCAATCTGAAACCTGTATTTAATTCTACAAACAATAAAGCTTTTGCCTGTGCCAAGGCAAAAGCAGACCTGGCAGAATGTGATCTTTGCATTGGTGCTAGTTCCCAAATGAAAGCAATCAGGAGTTTCCAGCAGAGTGCGTTTTGTTTGTTCTTCAAGTTACAGGGCAGCTGTGCAGCAGGTGAAGACCCTTGTAGCCATCTTCTGCCTGTACCAGTGATGATATATGTGAGCACGTCCTTCACTTCTCAGTCCTTTAGGAAGTCCAACCTTCCCTTTCTCCTGTCCCAGAAGTTCTAATGCCAATAAAAACACAAACCAGGCTCAACAAATTTGTTGTTCCTTTGTCAGGTCACTCAACAGCTGCGTTCCTGGAAGCCAGAGAGCTCTTACTGACCCCGAGAGAGACAGGCAGTCTATAGGCCGGAAGCATAGAGAGGTGAGTTGGGGCAGAGGAAGAAAGACTGCACAAGTTTGCTTCTTGGGTGCTCTCACAAGTGGCAGTGGTGGGGACCCTCTTCCCTATGGTGGGGCTGTTGCCTTTGGTGGCTCTTGCAGAGAGAGAAGAAATAATTCTTGCTCTGTAGCAGAATTATTTCAGGTGACTTGAGGTTGCCCTGGCAGAGTCCTACCAGGGTGATGGTGTCCCTACTGCGGCCACACTTCCCACCTCTGCCACCCACATTTCTAGGAGCACCTGATGCCAGTCACTGTGCTGTGACAGCTGTGCTGCTTCCATGCAGCAGGCAGGGTAGAGGGAGAGCAGCATCTCTCTAGCCCATGTTTCCTGTTGGGCTACAGGTCACCCCAAACAAGAGGTTTGTGTGGGGAGGCAGGAAGGACATGAGGAGCAATTCTTAAGAAGCAGCCCAGCTAAGCTGCAGTTGAGACAGACCCTGGACTCACAGAGGGGAAGCCGTTTCCCCCATGCCTGGGCACCTTAATAAAGAGAGCATTCATCTGCTTCCTCCCTGTGCTGCATGATAATCCACAGCAACTCAAGAGATTTCCTCTCTCTTCTTTTGCTCACCACAGAGTTGTTCCTCATAGCACCACAGCTGGAAATTGAACTTTAAAAGAAAAACTTTGTTTTCTGTTCCACTGACATGCAAAAATGGCATACCAACATGGGTTTGGACACAAATCTTCCCTCATCTTCTCCGGGAGATGCTTGGGCTGGGGCCATTTTTAACTGTAAGAAGTAAAATGAGTAGATATGTGTTCTCTACATCATATAGTCATATTACTCTTTCCCCTGAATTTCACACATCTCTTATTAAAGAGGAAAACAGAAGTTCCACTATTTGCTGTGATTATGGCTCTTATTTTTGCATTTTGACTTCACTGATATCATGGGTGGTCCAGCTCATAAATGAACTTAACTTATTCTGTCCCTGAGCTACAGCTGAGCGGATCTTCTGTAACGAGACATGAAGCCAGGTGGATGCAGATATGGATCCCAGGCCAAGTCTGATGTGTGTTTGCAGAGACGCACGAGCCTTTCAGCAGACATGGACTGATTTCTGCTCCCAGGTGGGAGTCAGACAAAACTCTGGCTTTGCCTGTTTTTCCAAAAAAATCCCCAAACAGAGCACAGCTCTGCAGTTTGAGGGAAGTTTGGCTCCATCCTCATGAATTTAATAGGGAACAAATCCATGCAAACCAAAACTGCGCAAAATAGCTTCAAGAACCCCTGAAGCTAGCACTGCTGAGATTAATTTACTGTCCCAGCTTACTTCCCTAGTATAAGTACACAGTGATTTCTGCCGCCCAGCTTCCATGAAGTCAATAGGAGTTTTGTAACATGTTCCATTGCTGCAGTCACTTTTCATTATCCATGGGTGGCTTCTTCATTGGCAGATAAGCTGCATCCCAGACCTGAGCCAGCTCTGTGCAGCTCAGTCAAACTAGGACTCTTAGGTCAGTCCCAGCCCTTCAGAGTTCTGGGTGACCATGGTGCAGACATGGGAGCTGGCTGCTTTGACCCACTGTGAAGTCAGGAGAAACTTCCAGATGACTGGGAAGGGGAAAGAGAGGGTGACAGAAAGCAGTAACAGGGCTGGGAACAGCCTTTGAAAAACACTTATTTTTTAACTGGAAGAAAAAGATCTCTTCGGTACAAATCCTTCCTGGTGCTTATGAGCCCCACGGCACAGGGGAAGTATTGCAGAGCTGTATCTATCTCCCTGTGGGCACCCGCCAGGCTCATCCTGCCTAGGGAGGATGCTGCCTGTTCTCATGCCCTAGGCAGACATTTCACCCCTCTTCTACCCATTGCTGGGTGTTGGTGGGGTGCAGCCACAGACTCCTCTCCTGCCTGGTTCTTGCCTGCAGCTCACCCTTCCAAGCACCATTCAGATGCTGATACTGCCAGTACAGCTTCCTGTAAAGACTCAGCCAACTTCCCTACTTCTACTGGAGCTCACCACCCAGATCTGCGGGCCTGGGATTTTGGCTGTCTTGCACATGTGGCCTAATCTACACAAGTCTGGTAACCTTAGGTCTGAGCTATCACTTGAAGTTCAGGCACTCCCAGAGTAAAAGATTGGTCCAACAGGGATGAACCTTGATCAAATGAGCAATTTCTACTTAGTCACTTTCTGGTGAAGACAGGTGGGAGAAAATGAAGTGCAAAAAGCCATCTGTTGCTCAAGTCCCTAGTGATGTTAAACAGCTCTAATATATACAGTCCTACCTTTATAGTGTATGCCATGTAACCGTACATATGTACACTTATATGCACACAGCCACATGTTGCATGACAAGTTATCTGTGGTATGATGTCTTGGAGTTCTATCAAGTCAAGGAAAGATGCAACTACGTAGATTTTGAGAGAAACTGGGAGAAGAGGTTTTATTCTTAGCTAATCCAAAAGGAAACAAAGTGTTAACAAAGTGTTAGCAAATACTTTGCGTGTATAGAGTGAAAGTTAAAAAAAAATGGTAAGCACAGAAAAAAGAGGAACTCAACCTGTCCAAAACCATATAAAATAAGTCCATTTAATTAACAGTCTTTTTATTTCCAAGCAATGAAACTGGTCTTCGTGGAGCCCTGTATCTCCAAACCTCAAGTCCCCTTGTTTTCAGATAGTTGGTATAGTAAGGGGGCTGCCTGTAGCAGCACAGCATGGGCATATCTTTCATGACTGTCACAAGCAGCCTTTCCCCAGTCCCTCTGCAATAACAGTATAATAGTTTCTTCCCTCTGGACTTTCATATGACACAAGATTTCCCAAAGGTGCATAACTGCTTTAAAAGATATACCTCCTGCCCTGCTATACAGTTCTCATATGAGACAAACACACGAAGTTGCCTGGGCCAGGGCACCTTCTCTTGTGCTATATTTCACTGAACATACAGAAGCCTTGAATTGTTCCCCACTGAATTCAGAGCTGAAATGCCAGGTCTGAACAGAGGTCCATTTTAGGGCCTGATCTGGCACTTCCTGTCTCTCAGTGATGGACAGCTGCTGACACTGCCTCCTTCTCAAACGCAACCATGTGGTAAAAGAGAAAGTCAGAGCAGAACTAACCAGAGCAGGTTAGATCAAAATATTAAAACAAAGTGCCCTTAGCAGTGAACCTTTGGCTCCTCCAGGTGCCTCTGAAAGCAGCTGTCTCCTCCCAGCACTATGAGGTTTCATACCTTCAGGGCTGTCACTTTAGCACTGTGTGGGGGCCAGAGGAAGGGTTGGGACATTCCGTACAGTCAGGCACCCATTGGCACGAGGGCTTTCTCTGGTCAGTGCTCCAGACAAAGTTGCAAGAAACTTCAGTAGAAATTCTGAAATTACCCATGAGGGGCATGCTCCTGGTCAAAAACACGCAGGAGAAGACAGAAGGCAGCTTAAGGCTCTGTAGCAATTTCACCAGCAGGTCATGGGAGGGTGTTCTGCAAAGTGCTATTGAGCTAATGTTGCTCTTCTGCTTTCTGTGCGGGCATGTGGGGACATCAGATCCCAAGAACAAGGGTGAGACAAAAGTGTCCCCAAATCACAACAGCAAACATCATCCTAACAAAACCACTCCAAATTGAACGGTCACACAACAGAAAGCTGTAAATCTTGAGTAGCCTCACATGGCTGAGAGTGCATGACTGATGTCAGATCTTTTGAACAGAAAGACTCAAACTGCTTCAAGCTGAAAACTGCATTAAGGATCAGGGAACTGACAGTATCATTGTTGTTTCCTCCTAAGCAGTTCTCTCCTTGATATATGGCTCCCAAAGTATCAAGCATAAGAGGTTGTGAAAGTAACAATCAAATCAAGGTGTGTGGGATGAGAGGGAAAAGATCCTCAGATGCAGATACTGCTGGAGATTTGGCAGTGCCTCTTATCAAGCACAGTGAAAATTTCATACATCAGCAGTTTGGTCTAAAACCCACCGTTTTGCATGTGGGTTTTACAAACCCAAGCTTGGACAACAGATGTCACAAAACATCCCCAGACAGGTCTAAGAGACAATTCACAGGCAGCTCCAGCCTTCCTAGACATTTTATGGATTTAATCCATAATCCAAGAGTTTGATCTCAGGCATGTAAATGTTTAAACTAAATGCTTGATTTGGACCTGGCTCCCCATCCTGTCTTATTTCTACTTGGGTTTGTTGGGAATACAAACCTTCAGACTGTGGATGTGTCATCTATTTGTTTTCTGCTGACTCTGGCATGTGAACATATCCTGCTTGTAAAGACAAGGCTGGCCCCCGCTGTGGCCAGCTGGATGTGTCTCACAAGGGACTACCTCCTGTTGGAGTAAATTTTCTTTCTTGAAGAGAAGCCAGGAGACTTCTATAATAAATAGCCAAAAATACTGGAATGCCTGAAATGTCAAAGAAAACAGGCTGTCAGAGCACTACTCGTT